TTTGATTTGCCCGAGGAATCACTGTAAGGCACAGAAAATGCTCCTAAGCTGTCTGTGCATCTCATTTATGCCAGCAGCAGGGTGCCAGCTGTGCTGTGTTGGGGAAAGAAGAATCCTCTTGCCAGGAGAGGGCAGCAGCTGTCTGTGTGCTCCTGCTGCGTCCCACCTGCCTGGGGGTCTCAGCTCTGCAGCATCTCTGCTGTGCCTCCCAGAAGTATTTGGCAAGGCTGCTGTACCACGTGTGCAGCCTCTTCAGGGACTTCTGGTAGGTTCATTGGCAAGCAGTTGGGTTTTTTTCTTCTCTTTCCTTTTGCTTAAGTGAATCGAGTCCATTTTAGTAAAAGCAGTAGCTGGGAACTTGGTGTGAAAGAGCAGCTAACTTCTTAAACTGCTGGGGACTTCTGTCTTTGATTTGCCTGCAGAACACTGAAGAAAAGCTCATTTTTGCAGATGCCTCTTGTATTACTCCTGCTACCATACCTTCTTATACACGAGTTACTCTTATCAGAAATGTCATTTATTCACTTCGCTTCCCACTGAAGAGCTTTTCAGCGGTCTGTGTAAGAGACTCCTTGTAACTTATTTCATATACATCACCCCTCTCTTTTCAGAGAAAAGACTGTGATTATCACTGAATGGACATAGTTTTTGCTTTCCAATAAACAGAATTGCACAATTCCCTCATCTTCTACTATATCACAGAGGATGCTCCTGCCCCGCTGGGCTCCAGTGGGATCCAAGAAATTGGGTAATGTAGAGAACAGGCAAAAGCTACAGCCTGGAAAAGAAGTTGCTGCTCTGAGTGGCTTTGAGAACTGGTCAAATCTCTGGGCATACTTTCTGTGGAAATGGTTCTGCTGTAGCATTCTCAGCTGCTCTGAAGCAGAGGTTTAATTTACCAGCAAACCGTTTTAATCACACTTGTTCTCTTTGTCCCCACCTTACTGCCCCCCATACGCATTTGGGGTAATCAGAAATGAGGCATTGCTCTGCTTAGGCTCGCTGTATGAGGGCACATGAATATTCTGTGGCGTTTTGATCGCAGTTGGTCAGCAGCCCACTGCACCCAGGTTGTCACTGGCTCATGCTGTGTCTCTTGCATCCCTTCCCAGGTGCTGTTAAATGCCACCCACACAGGTGAGGCACAGTGTGAGGGATTTAGGAGCAGTTCTGTACTTCAGCTGGCTGTTTTGTCCACACCGATTGTTTTAGAGTAATGTAGTCTTCAGGCAGTCCTAAGGCTAGCAGAGGCACTACTGTTTTAAGAAGATCTCAATTCAGTTTTGAACATGTAAAGCAAGTTGGGAGGATGGGAAAGTTATGGTCAATTCTGTTGTGCATGGCACTGCAAGCAGGCTGCCATGTCAGCTGCTGCATTAGCCCACACATTTATGTTCATGCATTTACTTTGTATAGAGAGAGATAGGAAGAAGCATGTGTGTATATACGTATATAGCATGAAAAGACCACAAATGTAGTTGTTTTTTTTTTCCTGCTATGGCATGAATCTCATTGGGTTGCTTATCTTGCCTACCTGGGGTTCTGCTTCAGCATCCTGAAGATCTGGTTGCTGACATTCCTGCTTCCAGCGCAAAGCACAGCTGTTGAGTTCAGATGTAGCTGTGTTACAGGTTTCATTTTCACAGCAGTTTTCCATTAGGTGGTCACTGACCAGGTGGTGCCCTTTTGTAGTCACTCAGAGGCTGTGTGTTGTGCCTCTGGGTTCAGATTATGAGCTTACATCACCTGAGCAGTGACACATGTGCTCATGCTGCTGAGGCAACGCTAACACCACCCCTCTATTTGGCATCCTAGGGAGTGAGGCAATCTTAATATCCAGAATAAGCATGAGGGAGCCCTTAGTTGTTTGACAAGAAGGTTGTTTTTGTCCTGTTGATTCAATGTGCACCTCGATCTGGTTCAACCACAAACCAGTGCAAATAAATCAACATGGAAACCAAGAATGGGGTGGGAGATTATCAGTTTGTGCTTGGGAAATAAGCAGAAGGTAGAACTGAGCCTGCAGAACCAGCTGGTGTATGAATGGCTCATCTTCCTAGCTTGCACAGTGCTGTTGGGCTTTGCTCGTCCCTGGGTGGTGAGGGCAGGCTGTTAGTGCCCAAGCTAAGGGCAGCCTTTCCCTCAAGGGCCGGATTTGCATGCGAATCTCAGATTTCCTGCCAGAGTATCCTTAATGCATCCAAGCTTCTCTTGATACAGCTTACATTTCCAGCATCTCAGTTTTCCTAACCTGATGCTGTTTAAGGTTTGCTAAAGGCAACTGCTCCCTCCACAATCCCACCATGCTTCATCCCCTACTCCTTCCTGCCGAGTGACTGCTGGGTTTGGTGGCCAACCATCACAAAGACCTGCTGTGTTGCCACTCCTGAAAGGAGCTGCTCATGCACCTTGAGGAATAAGCACTTGTGAAATGCTGTGCTGTACTGTGGTTTTTCCCAGCCATCCTTCCTGTCAGCACACGGTTGTTTCTCCAAGGCAATATGCAGCCTTGGCAGGTTGTGTGGCTTCCAGCTAGGTCCAAATGTTCCCTCTTCTGAAATGTGAACTATATTCTAATAGAAATGGTAGAAATATTCTTCAGAGGATGGCAATGGGATTCCTCACCCACTGGCTGTATCCACCCTGTGATTTCGGAGCGACGTCTGTTCCCATCATGTCTTGTTTCAAGCAGTACTGTAAGAAATTGCTGGCAGACTTTGGCAGATGGAATAGAAATCTTATCCCTTCTCATGGCAGGGTGTGCAACTCGAGCTCTCTTATCTCTGTGTAATGTATCACCTCAGTGCTGTCATGCAGAGAGTTCTGAGGCAGCCACAACGTGTTATGTGCTGCCAGGGCAATTTCCTAATGCAGGTGATCATCTTTCTGTGTGCACTAAGATAGCCAGGCTGTGCAAATCAAGATAAAACTTGTGGTTTTGCATTATTGAGAACATGTTATTCCCCTGGCTTCTCCAGTTCCCTCCTCAGTCAGCTAGCAGTAGCCTCCATGGAAGCCAATGGGATGGAAAGAGCAGCTGTTTGACAACGTAAGGGTGGGGTGGGAGGGCTTTTCAAGATCACTGATGGGTAGAAGAGATGCGTTGTCTGCTGCCCAAAGCTTCCATGTAGATATTGAAATATTCCGTTCCTTTTGAAAGCTGCTGCATCGCTTCTCCCCAAGCTGCCTCTTCTGTGTGCTTCTCGTGAGTACATGTGAGCAGTGGCAAACACTTTGTGTGGGAGAGGTGGCCCAGAATCTCTTGCCCAGTGCCACGGCTGCAGCTTTGACAGAGCCCATCCTGCTCTTGCAGCAGCTGATGCTCTGCTTAGTGGGCTGTGTCTTGTCTTGTAAGGGCAGCGCTGTTTGGGGCTGGCTGTGCACTGCCAGGTGAGAACTGCCCTGCTCCGGGTGCAGCTTGCTCCTTGCTTTGTTTCATCCCCACTGAGTGCAGCAGGCCCTGCTTCACGCTGTCCCTGGTTTCCACCACGCTGATAAAGTGGTGAGGTCTCTGCTGATCTGAACTTCACTTGTGCTGGAGGAGATGCTGTTCAAAAGTGGGAACAATCCAGCGTAGCCATCCTCATTGCAGCCCAGCTCTCCCCAGCCCTGCTGTCCCCTCCCCAGCATCCCTCTCCCTTCCACACAGCTGCTGTGGGGTGGATGGTTCCCAGCAGCATTGCACCACAGGGAACAGCACTCCCACCTGGCTGCACCTGCAGTGGCACCAGCTGCTTCTCCCTTGGGCCGAGCCACCTACCAGCAAAACATGGGCCTTGTTTGTTTGTTTATTTGTTTGAAATCCTGCCCAATGTGCATAGTTGTGTACGCTCTTACCCTCAATGCCATGACCTAATTCTTTGAATTGCAAATCAGGGCAGCAGTTCACCACCTGCTCCTGCTGTATTTAAGTGCTTTTTATAGCTCTTCAAAAACAAAACCCAATAATAATAAATACTTCTGTATCAGATGTGCTGTTGGACCCCCAGGCCTGGCCCAGCCTGGCTCCCCATCATCCCAAGGCCCTCACCCTGTCCCGGGAGCAGCGGAGCAGAGGTGGCCCTGACCAGCCATAGGGGCTCTCAGGGGGTTTCTCTGGTGGCACTGCAGCCCTGATCGCAGGGAGAAAACTGCAGAGAGGAAGGGAGGGTCCCGCGGGTGGTGTTTGCCAGCTGCAGTGGAGGAGAAGCTGCGGTAAGAGCTGGGATACAGCACAGAAAGTCAGCGTGAGTGCGTGAGATGTGCGGTGCTTCCCTCCTGCACCCGCCAGGCTGCTCCAGCTGCCCGAACCCAGCAATTATCACAAACTATTTAAGCCCATCCTCCATTTAAACAGCAGGTGGCAACATCTTCCAGTGTATGAGAGTCTGCCTGTGTTCGCTGAGGGGTTCTCCTGGTTCTCCTCTGCCGCGGTTGAGGAAACACCAGTCTCTGCCTGCAGCCTTTGTGTTTCATAGGATCAGTTTGCCCTTGCTCCAAAGCAGATTTGGAAATGCGGTGTGCAAGTATCTTGAATTAGAGCCATAATCCCTGGCTGGAGAAGGTAGGTCGTTTTTCCCTGTTTCGCTGATGCATATGTTTGTATTTTAGCAGCTTCTCAGGCAGGCAATTTGAGAAATTGCAGATAGTTTCCCATGGCTGGCACATCATGCAGGGAAGCTGGGGAGCACTTCCTTCTCCCTCTCTCCTCTGGGACCGCAGGAGCTAACAAAACAAGTGAGCCTGTGGTGGAGAATGAAGCATCCAGATAACTGAGTTGGATTGTGAGGTTTTGTATGATGGAAGATCGTCTCTGTAGCTGTGCAGACAGCAAACGTTGGCCCATCATGGCACACTTACATAAAAGCGTCAGGGTGGTGTTTGTGCCTAATTCCAGCTGGATGCTGCCAGATGTTACAGCTCCACTGACCTAATTCAGGGGCTGGGGCAGGCCATCCCTGCAGCTCAGCAAAGTGTGGGGGATTAGTCCTGCAATCCTAACCGTGCCCCTAAGGATTGTTTCCTTTTTTTCTCTGGAGGGCCACAAGGAAGGGTGGTGGTGTTGGATGGGAAGGCTTGGTTTGTGGTGCTGGGAGCTGCTTGGAGTCCTTGTTCCTCACTGGGTTTTGGCCAACTCTGTTTCTGGCTGTGGCCTTGAGAGCCTGACTCTAGGTGTGGCTGTATGGGCACCAGCCTTCAGATCATGTTCATCTGCAGAATAACTGGTATTGCATTTTATCCTCAACCCACGCTCGCTGCCCTTCCTCTCCTTATCAGTGTTTGTTTACCAGGCTGACTCAGCTCTCACCCTAGAGAACAGCCATGCAGAGCAGTGCCATGGCTGGGTCAGCACTGTGCAGAAGCTCTGGATGGGACATCCTGGCTGCAAGACCAACATCATTCCTTACCCAGGGCCCATGCTGGAGCCCAGCATCTGCCCAAGGCAGCACAATGGCTTCGGACCACTGGAACGTGCCTACAGGTGGGGAAACTTTGCAGCTGTGTTGCATCTTCCTTTCTTCATGAATCCCCTTACCTATGGAGATGGTAGGATCTTTGCTGGGTGTTGCACGTTAACCAGAGCCACCGTCCTTTGGGTGGAGATGGTGCCTCACACATTGTCTCCTGTGCTGCTACAATTGGGTTAATATAGATGAAGATTGCTCCCTCAGGCCCAGCACAAAGCAAGCAGTTGCAGAAAGTGCTGTTAAGATGAGTCATTAGTGCTGAATTAACCTTCCAGAGAGCCTGGCCCCTGTTTGAGCTGGAAATGTAGCAGAGCTGGAGCCAAGGATGCAGCAGGATGGACTCTGTGTTCTTGGCAGCTCTAGTTCATGAGTGACTGTCTTGGTGAGGCACCAACTTGTAAACACCCACCTGTAATACATGCAGTATGTATCCTTTGAGTGAAGCAGGCTGTACGTGGGGGTCCCTGCCTTTCACCTTTTACAGGTCTGCTTTTCACTGCTGACTCCCACATGAGAGACACAAAGCCCACCATCTGTAGGGTGGCTCAGGAGAAGGAGACTCATGAAAATGTCATTTTTAGTGCCTGTTTCTCTGGCTGATGCCTCACTGCACAAGGAAAAAGCTCTCTTATCCCAGCCAGGGTGGCCAAGGTGCCAGCAATAGGGAGACAACACCCCCATTCACCTCACTGCATTTTACACCCTGCCCCCAGAGAAACGCCCATGTCCAGATTGGAGTATTTCTCCATATTTCATCAGACTGTAATAGGATGCGGAGTGGTAACAGTGAGGAGACCCTTAGCAATGATGCCATGTGTGCACCTGAATCTTGAGCTGCACCAGGTTTTGGGTAGAAGCATTACAAACTTTCCCAAAGCCAAGACCTGTCCAGGCTGCTGCTGCAATCCAGCAGGGTGTGGGTGTCTTGGAAACCTCAGCATGGCTCCAGAGGGGGTTCCCAGTTAGGGTGTTGGTGATCCTAACTCAAACTGGACAAGAGGAGTAACTCTTGCTCAGTGGACGTGGGTTAGGAGGGAGACTTTGATGAAGGGTGCTTCAGCGGTGCTGACCTGCAACGTCTTAGCTTACAAAGGTGGGAGAAGACAAATAACCTTACAAGTGCTCATCCACGCAACACACATCATCAGCTTCTGTCCTCAGGGAACAGCTGCTGTGGGAAGCTCTGTCCCAGCGAGCTGGGCAGGCAGAAAATCACAGGAACTGTAAATTAGGAAGCAGCACCCTTCCTGCTTAATTATAACAGCTGCCAGTGGTGTTTATGGGAACTTCTTTGTCCCATCCGTTCCTGGTGATTGCCGTCAGTCAACATGACCATCATGCATGTGCTTAGTGCCGGGAGGTACTTCAGTCCCCCAGCTACCCACGCTTATAGGGCTTAGCACGGCCAGCAATGGCTGTCCTTGAATCAGACCTAAAGGAGAGCTCAGATTCTCCAGCCAGCCATAAATAACCCCAAACTGTCAGCCCCACCTGCCCATGTGGGGCAGCAGGCCAGTGCATGGGCTGGCTCTCAGTCTCCAGCAGCAGGGATGCTCCCCAAAGATTTCCTCTGGGCAACCATGGAGAAGAAATCACCATTTTCTAATGCCTGGGGCCCTGCTAGGAGGCTGTCACGCTTCTCCAGTCCATGCATCTTCGTTACCATTTAATCGCCTGTTTAATTAGCCCACTTGCTCAGTTCCAGGAGATGGCTGGTTGGCATTCCCAAGCTTTGTGCACCATTTCTCTTGTACAGAGCAAAGCAAGGGCTCTGCACGTTCTGGAAATGGCTGCTCTGGGCTGAGCAAAAAGAGCTCGGTCTCATTGCCACACATGGAGCTCCCAGCACTGTTCTGGGTGTTAGCTGCGAGTGCTTGCTGACCCCCTTCAGCAGGGACACAATCCCCAGCAGCTGCTGGTTGTGGGCTGTGCTTATATAGGGACCTAGAGGTGGTCGTGCTGTGGCTGATGCTGTTATGCCCAGCGTGCTGTTCCACCGGTGACCTCAGAAGAGAGATTTCCAGCACCTTAGAGCAGGGATGGCAAATAATTGCTTTCAAATGTGGGCAAGGAGGGGAAAATAAAGGTTTTGGTCCAAAAACATTCCTTTTCCCCTTCATTCCATATAGCCCCAAAAGTGAAGTTTTCCATGAAGGAGCTATGTGGTGAGATGCTTTATGGCTGTCCAGGAAATCCTTGCAGCCAGCTGTAAGAATAAGGTTTCTGGTGGGAGAGGAACTTAAAATAATTGTTCAGAAAACAGCCTTGGGAATGGTTGTTTAATGGACCAAACCGTGCAGAGGAATGTAGACTGGCTGAGGAGCTGCTTGAGTTGGGTTTGGCAGTGCTCCTGACCCAAGATGTGCGTGGAACTGCGTGCTTGTATGCATGCTGCTGTGCAACTCAACTCAGGAAGGCATGAGATTATCTGCCTGCTTGTCAGGGGCTGGAACTGTGGGACTTTAAGGTCCTTCCCAGCTGAGATCATCTATTATTCTACGTGGATGTGACACTGAAGGACATGGTTTAGTGATGAGCCTTGGTATGTCTGATTGATGGTTGTGCTTGCTGATCTTGAAGGTCTTCTCCAAACTCGATGACTGCAGGTGGCTGTGTAACTCCTGCTGACCCACAGCACTGCTGGCTTTCCATCTCCTGCACGTTTATTTAATTCCACCACACGTGCGCTGCTACAAGAAGAGCTTCCAGTACAGCAATTTGAATGTCAAAGGGTAGGGGATTCTCAGGGCATAGAATCAGAGCTGCTGACCTGCTCCACTTCTTCTGGGCCAGTGTGAATGGCTCCTCAGAGGCTGGCCTCTCCTTTCAACACTGCAGACCTAGCTAGCCCTCCCTTTTGTCCTTGTGAAAAGAAAATGAACAAAAATGATGCACACACCCAAGGGAGCCAGGAATGGCTACCTCTCAGCTGCTCCAGCATCCTGGTGATGCTCAGGAGCAGGCAGACATTACTAATTCAAACCCTGCCATCTCCATCACACCTCATCTGAGACTCTTTCCATGGTTAGAAGACAGACTGTTTAATTTCCAGCTCTGCCCCCAAACCACTGGGGCTGAGTTCTTGAACTTCAATGGGGGATTTTGGGGTAAAATTCATCTGCACCAGCACTGTTGTCTGTGCTCCTTTTCTCTCTTCTCTGGGCAGATTGCACAGGGAAGACACTGTCATGTCTTCATACCATGAGAAATTTATGCTCAGAAAGAGTGGGGAGGCATTAGAAGTGCCATTGGAGTACATTGGAGTGGTGAGGCTGCCCAGGGGAGTTGTTGAGTCCCTGTCCCTGGAGATGTGCAAGAACTGTGTGGATGTGCACTGAGCGCTGTGCTTAGTGGGCATGGTGGGGATGGGCTGATGGTTGACCTTCGTGTTCTTTCCTACCTTAATGACTCTGTGATTCTCCCTACCCTGAGTTGTTTGGGATCATTGTGTGAGAAGCTTCCACCCACATGAGGATGTGAGACTTCAAAGCCCCACGCGGAGGTCGATGACCCCCCAGCCGAGCAGCCAACGCAGCCAAACATTGCCTCACCAGGCCAAGACCCGTGGGGCCACTGACCGCAGCCTCTGCCTTCCCTGCCCCACCGATGTGTGCAGGCTCTGGGTGACCTGCATCTTCCTTGCTGAGCAGTGATAACAAAGCTAGCCAAAAAATAGTCCTGCCTAGGCAAGGACCAGAATCCTTCCTCATCTGTGCTACCCCTCAGTTTCCAGTCATGTCCTTTGGAGGAGTTGCTTGTGTGAGTCTGCTGGGACTTAGTGGAGAAGAGCTGCAGGGTGAGCATTAGCCTTTCTGCTCAACCTCTCCATCTGGGCATCGGCTGACTGCAGGTGATGTGAGGTGGGCTTAGCTGAGCCTCGTTTGCTCACTGAGTCAATGAACCTGATATCGCCCCTGAACTCCTGGGGCAACCTGCACAACAAGGCCAGCCTTTCTTAGAGAGGAGTGCCTAATCTACACCATTTTGAGAAAACTGTTGATCCTGTTCAGATCGTCATACCCACACATCGCCCCGACCAGCCTCAAGCTGTTGTTTCTGCCATCAAAGCTTTAACTGACTGCTGGTGAGTTTTTCTTGTGCTGCTTGAACTGAACTCCTTTTATGGGAGCACAGCAGTTGTTCATTGGCGGATAGAAGTACCTCTGGCTATGGAGGAAAGAAAACAATGATGCCCCCAGGGAAAGCACTGCATAGAAATTTGAGGATGCTGCAAGTGCCTTCTCACTGAAAGCCTCTTCCAAGTGCTGAAATACAGTAGAGAGAGCCAAACAGCACGTAATTGAAAGGTGGAACAGAATCACAGAATGGCCAGGGTTGGAAGAGACCTCAAGGATCATGAATCTCCAACCCCCTGCCACATGCGGAGCCACCAACCTCCCCATTTAATACCAGCCCAGGCTGCCCAGGGCCCCATCCAACCTGGCCTTGAACACCTCCAGGGATGGGGCATCCACAACCTATCTGAGCAGCTGTTCCAGCACCTCACCACTCTCATAGTAAAGAATTTCCCCCTGACATCAACCTTTCCTCCTTCAACTTAGAACCATTTCCCCTTGTCTTTGAACACATGACAGCTGTTCTAGAGTTTTTGTGCCTTTGTTGAAACTGAGTAGAGGCTATTGGAGCAGTGTGTGTCTCTGGCTACAGTGAAGCCATACGCAGTGCTCACCAATGTGTTCTGGGGGTTTGGTCACATACATTGCCCATTTTGGATGCTTTGGGGGCAGTGTGTGAACCACAGGCACTGCTATGCCATGAGCAGAGGTGTGACTTGCAGCTCACTGACATCTTTATCCATGGGATGGAAATTGCTGCTAGCATGGGAGTGATCACTACTTGTAGATGTGTAAATAATTGCTAATGCTGACTACCAGTTCTATCTCCCCATTCATGTAGTCAGTAGTCAGGCAGAGCTGGGACCACTGATGTGCTCTTCTATTTCAAACCTCAAAGAGCTGCCTACAGCTGCAGCAGGCTAGCTATCCATCTCACTTATCCTTTGTATAACATCTACCATTTTGTTGTCCAATCTGAAGCTTTATTGCCTTTTCTTTTCCCCATCCTGAATCCCACAAGGCCGTTTGCCAGTGTCTTCCTGCTTTGGCTTAGCCTTCGCTTTGCCTGTTAATCACTCTCATTTACAGACTTTTTCACAGAACCACTGTGTGCTGAACCAGACACCACCGTCACAAAGCATGGTTTGGATGCTTCTGTAAACCCTTCCATGAAAAGAGAGGGGAATCACAGAATCATAGGATGGCCTGGATTGAAAAGGACCACAAAGATTATCTAGTTTCAACCCCCTGCTATGTGCAGGGTCGCCAACCACCAGACCAGGCTGCCCAGATCCACATCCAGCCTGGCCATTGGGGTGTGCCTGCTCACCTCCATCCCTAAGCAGGAGCATGTCTGCACATCCCAATCCATGGACAGACCTTCTGAGGGAGAGTGTCCTGTGTGTAATCCTATGGCAAAGCAAGCCAGTATGTGGTGTGAGAAGAGAATTCAGCTGTTTCTCCAGAAGGTATTACAGTCACCTTTGATGAGCAGAGTCATTGGCACCGCTCTGTGCTATTTGCTTTCCTTCAGGAAAGCAGGGGGATTCCTGAGGTGCTGCTTCATTGCCTCTGGCCTCCTAGAGAGGAAATAACCACATGATTGTGATTGTGGATGTTGTGCTTTCAGCCCATGTTAGCCAGGACTCAAGTCTGTAACTGCTGGTGCATTCCCCATCATGGGCTGAGACTGGGAGCATGGAGGAGATTACCAAGGCCACCAGCAGTGCCCCAGGACTCACAGCAGCTGTGCTTCCCTCCCCATCCCTGCCTGATGGCCCCATGGTGAACAGAGACCTGATATCTTTCAATAACCCTGTCAGCTTGGTGCCCTTGGACAGAAGCAGAGTCAGCAGGTCAGCTGTGAATGACAAACGAGCTGTTCAGGTGACAGAAGTGCTGCCTGGTGGCTGGCCAGAGCATTGTTTAGCATTTATTTGTGGAAAGTTCAGCCCTGCAGGAGGTTTTGGAGAAGTGCTGCCACTGGTCCTGGACTGGAGCCAGAGGCTGGTGGAAGGCAGAGAGGGCAAATGGCACAGGGAAGGCCAGACCCAAAGAGCCTGGCTGCTGGCTCTGTCTGCAAAGGTTTTCTCTGAGCTCAGGTGATTCTGAAGCACTACATTGGCAAACATCACGTGGGGGAGCAAAGACCCTTCTAAACCCAAAGTTATGAGATGGAAGCCTGTTCTACTGCAAGCCTGTGTTTCAAGAGCCCTTATTTCAAAAATTGTGCACTACCTGCCTGAGCAGAGTTAGGAGTGCATCAGCCACTTGCAAGGAAGATCCACCTATGTCACCACCATTACTGCTCTTATCCGCTGTGTTTGCTGATCTTGTGTATCTCTGCAGCAGCAGAGCTCAGAGATGCTGCAGGACAGGAGAGGCACATTTCACAGATGGAGAAGCACGCAGGAGGGCTGGTGATGAAAGGTTAGTAGTTCTTGTCTCCTGGCTCTCTGTACTGTGTTCTGCATGATGGGGCCCACTGCTGGCTGCTGTTCTGAAGCAAGAACAGCTGTTGCCTGTCATATGAGCAGGATAGTGGGTCAGTGCACCGATGCTTTTAATTAACGGAATTGCCCGAGTTTCTTTGCTGACGTTGAAATGTATTCTTCACGTAGCTGTGCTCTGCTTTGAAAAGTGGTCACTGCTGCTGCTTTTGTATGTCTTTTCCCAACCAGTTTCCAATTTTCTGTGATCTCATCACTGATGAAGTAAGAGAGTGTTGAGGTTTGCTCATTTGGGCAAGGAACTGGAGGTACCCTGCCAGCATTGTGCTTTTTCAAAACATTAAGCACTCTCTGCAACCTGGGCACCCCCCAAAAAGCATCCTCTTAAGCCACTGATCTCTTTTGGAAATGAGGGCCAAGATGTTGCTGGCAGCAGGCAGGGTGACCAGCACAAGCTCCCCTCCAGATCTCCTGCAGTCTTTTTGCTTCTGCTTTCTCCTTGCTGCTCTCCATCAGCAATTGCATGCAGGAGTGGAGATGAAGGGGACTGTTTAACCCAAGCTACCTCCTCTCATTGCTCAGAGCAACTCTTCATGACCATGATCTGCTCTTGCTGTGCAGTGAAGGGCCTTTTTGCCTGCATGTGGTTTCCCTGCAAGGTGGGAGCTGAGGTCATGTAGGGCAGGAGGTCACCCCTTGCAAAACCCTTGAGCTCATGGGAAAAAGCAACTCTAAGAGCAAAGTTGTATTACCTCTTCCAGCCCATCCATAACTGATGGAGAGATGCTCCTCTTGAACGTGGCTCCTGCTCAGTGTCGTGCTTGGTGAGCTCAGACAGATGTTTCCCCCCTTTCCTTGGCTTCATGTGATCTAATTGTTCTTTAATGTCTCGTGCTGCAGTTGGTATGTGGATACAGCAAGGGTAATTGGATACATTCTCTGATCCCCTCCTAGGGTTCTTTTTGCCCTCCTGTGTGCAGAACAGCCCAAAGACAGGTCTGAAAGTCCAGTAGACTTTCCTGGAAGCAGCCTGGAGGAATGCTGCCTCTTTAAAACCACCTTAGTTGTTAGGGTTGCAGAGAGCTCCCTGTTCAGCCCAGACCTTTCTGATAATCGTAACTCTTCTTCAGCTTCATGCTGCTGGTTACTTTTCTGTGTTTCACATGGAGATGCTCTGAAGGAACCTTCTCTGTTGGGAGCAGACCAACCCAGCAGATTTAAGTCTAGTGCAAGGGAGAGAAAGAAGGAAACTGTCTGTTTGAAGCTGACAGGATGGCATGTTTTACTTAATCAGAAATGATAAATATTTCCCTATTGGTATGGTTCCTCTGGAGCTGTTTCTCCCTGCTTTGATTTTTCATTGAGCCTTTCTTAATGCATTCCTTCTCTGTCTGCTCTGCATGGCACCCCTGTAGCACAAAACAAGCAGGCAAGTGGAAAAGGGGAGAGGAGGAGGATGGAGGGCTGGGAGAACAGATGTCTCCTCAGCACGGATGGCTCAGCTGGGGGGGAGCTGGCAAGGGCCTTCCTGCAGGGCGTTTGGAGGATGGCAGCACTGCAGTGTGTCCCAGCTGACATCTGGTGCAGGGAAAGAGTGGGAGGGGGAAAGGGAAAAGGCACTCATTTTGCAGGTTTGGATGCCAACTTCTTTGCCTTTGCTGCCTTGCCAATTGCTGGTGTTGAAAGTCGTGAGACAGTCCATCCTTCACCAGAAACCATGTGGCTGGTTTAAAACCATCCTAATCTGAGTAAAAAAGCTACAAGAAAGGCCCGGCTCTTACTTTCCTCCTTCAGGGGATTAGGGCACATCTTTGAGAGCTCCTTTGTCAGCAGGAGGGCTGGAAACTCTGGGGTGACAATGGGCTTCCATCAGTGCCCAGACCCTGCACTCCTCCTCTGCATTGGTTGGATTGGGATGACCTCAACCCAAAAGTCTGATGTGGCATTCCTTAGCCTTCACCAGGACTTAAGGGAGCAGATACTCCTCTTTTCTTTGATGCTGGGATATCTGTAGCTAGGCAAGCTTTGAAGCGATGAGGAAGCTCTACGGCTTTTCTCCCTGTTCACCTTTCAGCACCTGCTGCGTTTTAGCAAATGTATGTTTACTTTACAGACCGTCTTTGCACACTGACTTGAGCTGCAGAAAACAAAAGATCTGTTATGCAAATATTTATGCAGCCGTAGCACCGCATGCTGGAGTATAGAGCAGCTTTTCAGAGAGGAGGCGCCAGGAATATCTTAATGATAAACATATTTTATATAAGATTTCCAGCTATTTGCAAGAAAATGAGCAGTAGCTTTACATTCCCCACCGAAAAACTGAGATTTGCTTCAAGGGACTGTAGTGCTTATAGTTGTTAGCCACATATTGGAAAACATATTGGTCATATTGGAAAGCATTTTTGGTCATTCATTAACCAGGAAGAAGTACACAAAATAGAAGATGATAGTTCATTCAAGAGACAGTTTATGCTCACTGAGTTGAAACAAGTATCTTTATTACATTTTGTGAATGGATTTTCTAAGCAATTACTTTCATCCTTAGCCTTCATAGCTGTAACATGCTAATAAACATTTTCCCACAGCCCAGGTACTTATCATTGGCAAATGGCTTTTCCATAAAACCCCACCTTGCTCTCTGGGAATTTTATTTACTGAAGAGATGGCAGTGGAGAGAAGCAAGCTTCCCTGAACCCTTTTTTTACACAGTTTCAGCTTCACTGTGTGCCATCATTGGAGACAATAAACTTGTTCATCAATTGCAAGAATCCCAGCAGGAACACAGGCTTGTGGGATAAAGACTAATTCAGTTTGCTGTGGCTGTGCCACCTTTTGCTATCCATGTCATCCCTTTGGGATGCAGGAACAAACTCAGGTTCTGTTGATCTATGTGTAACTCACACCTGAATAAAATCTTGGAATGGAGAAGCTCCTGAACATGTTTGTTGACCCAAGTCACAGGCATAACATATGAGGTTGTGTTTGATGTCAAGGAGGGTCCAAGAAACTTTTTTTTCCTAAGGAATCTTCTTTGGGAACTTTGTAAGCCAAGAACTCCCATCTATAAGGAGGCCACCATATTGGACTTGTGGCCCTGACAGGACAAACCTTAAAAAAGCTGGAATCCCTTTGGTTTCAGTGTGACCACAGGCATCCTGAAGTCAAGCATGTCTTCACCTGCTGTGTTGGGCCAAGGCTCAGGAAACAGAGGAGAAAAATCTGTTTTTATTACTGTGGACTTTTGGCAGCAGCATTTGCAGGGAAGATGCTTGCACTGCACAGGGCATGTTGTAAGGAAATCACTAGCTGTTCCTGACAGACACTGAGGCAGTGTCACTTACAGGAGGTGCCCTGTCACCAGCAGCTTGTGGAAATTTGGTAATACAATAGCAGAGGCTTCTCATAGACTGCACACAGGTCTTCTGAGAAGATTAAATGGGGGCAACTTCTGAGAGACGAATGTAGCAGAGCAGTAGCAGCAGATTGGGTCCAGAACCAGCAGCATTTTGTTTAAATTTCAAATTACTTCATTCTGGGAAGCCACCAGTGTCTCAGCTGCTGCCTGTTGCTGGCAAAGACGGTGCCTGTGCCCAAGGGTTTTGCAAGATCGCTGTCACATATCTTTTAATGGAGAAAAATTGAGCAAATGAGACATTCTCTCGCAATCCTGGAAGTTCATACCAAATAGAGGCCAAAGATGAACACTTTGGTCTCTTCTTGACATTTTTGGGATGAGTCAGCTGAGGATCAGACAGGCTCCGTGCCCAGCAGGGATGGCCAGAGGGATTTAACCCAGCAGCACGAGGAGGCACCTGCGTGTGAGCTCTGGCTGGGAGCCCTCGTGTCCCCAGCTCTGGTCTGGCTGCTGCCCTCAGCCTCACCAGCTGCAGCCATCGAGCTCCTGTCCTCACAGTTCCTCTCAAGCAGACAACACCAGCTCCATATGGCCAGTGGGATCTATTCTGGAGAGGAGGATCAGATTTGCAATCATGAGCGCGTGCCTGCCCTGGCCAACGGCTCAGCAGGGCCAAAATGTCAGCGCATCCTGTTTACACTGCAGCCCAGACAGTGGGGAAAGTATTTTTAAACAAAAGCACAGATCTCGCTGTAATCTCTCTGTGTTTAGGAAACAAATGGTTTTTTTTTTTGCCACAA